ATGTAAAAGTAAAGGTGGCAAAAAGCCTTTTTTTGAGCAATAAAAGAACCACTTTTGGTTCCTGAAAGAACCTTTGGATGGTTCTTAAAAGAAAGACATTTGTGAGAAAGATATGCAAAGAGTATGAATAAGCCTCATAAAATTTAAAGAACACATAACATAAAGGTTACCAGAAACATCCTTTCATAGAACCATATGTTCAAGTCAAGAACCATTTAAGAACCTTAATTTTTAAGAGTGTTCCTGAGAACACAAACAACTAATAACTAAAATCTATTGCTCTATAATGTCCTTCTAGATCAGGGGTCACTAATCATATCTGCAAAGGGTCGATGTGGCTGCAGATCCACACCTGATTCTACTTCTATTCTTAATCAGTTGGTCTCAAACAGTTGCTTAGTGATATGAGGTGTGCTCCTACTTGTTTGGAATGGAAACCTGCATGTTGGTGAACCTTGGTCTAGATGATTGCTGCAATTATTCTTCCAAACTTTTGCCATTTTACTGGATATTTGCCAACTACTCCAGACTACTGTCTCACAGATTTAACCAAAAGTAATAAACAGGATTATTCTGAATTAAGTATTTATGTAGTAAACATGCATAAACAAACTAGTTCAGTAAAACAGTATTTTAACAGATGGGGAACTGGGAAGACATTTTCAGGCATACTAATAAACACACAACCCACTGACAAACAGAACAAAAACACACAAAACAGAATCTCACATGCAGCGGTTGAGTTTAAAAAAGGGGAGGGGCAGGGCACTGCACTCTACACTCACATGCACTCACAGTCTAAAACTATGATCAGCCTGGGATGTGTAAGAAAAGATCTTTGAAGTGGTCGATGCAGTTCATTACTGGGATGCAAGGGTGCTGCCAGGGATATTGGGCTCCTCGAAATGTATCACATTGGGCCCCACCACCAGAGGCCATGCCAACCATATGGGGTATGGGGATGAGGAGACACAGCTGGTTCATTGGTATGGGGATGGGGATGGGGATGGGGATGGGGAGACAGGGCTGGCTCATTGGTAGGGGTATGGGGTTGGGGAGACAGGGCTGGCTCATTGGTAGGGGTATGGGTATGGGGAGACAGGGCTGATTCATTGGCAAGGTATGGGGAGATAGGGCTGGTTAATTGGTAGCGGTATGGGGATGGGGATTCAGGGCTGGTTCATTGGTAGGGGTATGGGGAAACAAGCCTCGTTCACTGGTAGGAGTATGGGGATGGAGAAACAGGGCTGGTTTATTGGTAGGGGTATGAGGATGGGGAGACAGGGCTGCTGAGCCTGAAGCTGTATCTGTTGGGCCTGGCATCAGGCAGGGGCAGGGACATATGATTTAGTGTGTAACAAGTTCTGCATGTCAGTTTTGGGAAAGTGTGTTCTAACATTTATTTCTCCAAGTTTATTCTACAAGGACTCTTCTTGTGAAGGCAGACTAACTGCTTTTTTTCTGTGTTTATGCCTGTATAACTGGAGTAATGAGTCAGAAGCAAGAGAGTGCAAACGTGAGCCGAGATAGAGCTAGCCGTTAGCCTTGCTTATTGTACGGCGTGGCTGTGGCCAATATCATGCAGTAAGCTGTGTTTCTCCTTCAATAGCATAGAATGTTTCAGTAAGAAGAGAAGTTTCTAATAGCACTTTAGGGCCCCTGTCAGTCACAGGCCCTCAGAATCGTCATAACTTTTCCCCCATCATACGGCGCCCCTGCTAAGATGATTGAAGATAATGTGTGAAAACATTAAAACGTCACATCAAAAATGCTGACTGTAGTGGTTAAATCAATGAAATAGTTAATACATTCTTCCCAATTATCTTAAATGACCCATATCCCACATGTTCTAATATTTTATTTATGTTGTTCCCTGAGGACCACTTGTGCTACTGGAATGGTTTAATGTACCATAATAAGCTATTTTTTTTACATGACCATTTTCCAAACCCTCCTTATCCCTTAGAATTAAGCAAGCTGTTGCCACTGTGCATTTATAGGGTACACACTTACTTTCACTCAGGATATAATTTGACCAGGAGTGCTGAAACTTTTGCATATGACTATAAGTGAATGACATCTGTTGTGATTGGCTGCCCTATATTGTGCCTCAGTCTGGACTGAAACACTCCTTATAACTTTAGTGTGAATGAATGGAGCTAAATACTATACAAAATATATTTAAAATTTTAAAAAGTTCCACACATAAAATTAATACTGTAGTAATGCGTGTTTTGATAGACTGACACTGCACATCAAGACAGTGAACGAGGTTAATAAGGATAGTGATGCAGCCACTACTTTGAGATCAATTTAGAAACAAATTAGTGTTAAATTCTATCACTGAAAACATGTTAAACCACATCTGGCAAGTTATCAAATGCATTTGGAAAGTTCAAGAAGACGTGTTGTTCAAAGACAAGTTGAGAAATGACTCCATGCTCTCATCTGCAGACAGAGTTTTATTTAGCTTTTCAAAGTAGAAAGTCACCATACATTTGAGGTTATTCTTGCAACGTTACACTGGTCTTGGTGCCCCCCAAAATGCATGCATATATATTTTTTTTCCTCTGTACATTATTGAGAGTGTATTCTTTTATTTTATTTTACATCTTTACATCCAAAAATGCTAGCGTTCCAAAACACAGAGACAAATCGAGTTGGTGGAGAGATTCCGTTTGGCCACCGGGACTGAGGAGATCTACCCAGCGAAAGTGGCAGTCATACCTTGGCCTTATTTTAATGCAGAAAGAAGAAACACTGGCAGCTTCCAGTCGTAGACACCTTACTGCTTTTGTCTCTAAATTTATCAAAACAGAGATGGACAGGGTTGGCAAAAAAAACAACAAAGGAAGAGCTTAGTTTTGTCACACATAGAGAAAGACAAACGGAGAGGCAAGAAAACAACAGGAAGAGGAGAGACAGACACGGCTGGTGAAGAGAGCTTGTTTTCGAGGGGGATTTTGAGGTACTGAGGACCCTTTTCTAACATGCAACATTTTTGCAGCCCAGAGGACTTTCTTTTATGTCTCATGACTAAGCGTGAGATGCTTCAAGTTTGAAATCACACCAGCAAGTAGGAAACACACTCAGTGGGAGCAGACTGTGAAGAGTCTGGCTGTGCTGGGAGGAGGCGAACAAGAGGAAAAAACTGTAAATTGCTGTGTAGTCTATAGGGAGAAGGGTAAAAAAAACTGTGGTCTTCAAAGGTGCGCACAGTGCTAATCATCACAACGGTGCATAGCTCATTACCTAGTTACTTGGTACAAGAGAGAAAACCTCACCACGGTACACGCTGACAATTATTATTCATCCACAGACACCAAACAGTGGACAAGCAGAATACGTTTTACTCCTAGATTATATCAGGACCTCAAATGAGCCCAAGGACATGTTTTTTTCATACACAAATGTTCTATTAGAACACCATAGCTACCAGAAGGCTAAATATAAAGAGGACCGGCTTCATGGTCAAGCATCAAATTAAAGAAAATAACCAGGCTTATGTCTTTTCCTTCTTTTTATAATGTATATAAAGTGCCAGTCCACTCTCATTAGGTCAGAGAGCTAAGAAACCTCATAATACTATACAAAAATGATTATTATCTGTCTTGTTTATTGCAATAAATTGTTTGCAAATCTGCGATTGTTGAATATAGATTACGTTCAGCACAGAGGAATAATACAAACATGGTTTGGCATTAATAAAAGTAAATAATGGACCACCCATAAAAAATAGTATAGGCTTTGTGATCCTTGACCACAAGATAGACACCTTAGATTATTGTATTTACAGACTGAATGTATGCAAATATGTACAAGAGGCACTGATTCCCATAAACGTAAGATCAGATCAGGACCTAAAACATCAACTTGTCAGCACACATTTAAAAAAAAAAAAAAAGACATTACATGTTTTAATTCAGGACTTCACAGGACTTTGGCTAGTGATGGAGATGTTCAGGGAACTACATGTTGGACTATGTGGAGGTACCGGTTGTCTTTTCCTTCATGCATGAACAGACTTTGGTATCTATCAACTTTTGTTATGTTTGTGCAGCATTTAGCATGTAGTGTCACAGGCCTGATATCATTTTGATTCAATGTTGTTAGTCAGCAATCTGAATACATTTTTTGGATTTTGGAAACAACAAAAACAGTCATTTCCTTCAGGTATATAATCATTGATATATCAACTTTTTTTTCCAGGGAATTAGAAAAAAACGTATTTGAACTGATAGAATTCCAAATGCTAAAAAAAGAATAAGCTGTCATTTTTATAAACAAATAAATGATCACACTGAGTTTATGTAAGAATTACAGCACATTTGGAGTAAGCTTCATTCTTTGCAAAAATAAAGAACCTTAGTTTAATCCCTTAAAATGCCAGGTTTAAGGATTATTATTTAGTAATTACATGGACTACAATGTAAATTATTTGGGTAATTCTTAGGTTATAGAAGTGTGTAATAAAAGTTTGGTGAGCCCTGGTCATTTAAGAGGTTATAAAGCCTGCTTGACAAAATATAAGCCTGTTTGCCTCACTGCCTGACATTTCATTTATCCTTTGAAGTGCATTGTTTTAAATAGTCTTGCAGGGCCTGACGTGATCTGGTAGTGACAATCAGTGCGTTTACATGAGCTCAATAATCTGAACATAATTGGATTTCTGCAGGTATCTGATTGTTCAAATGGTCATGTAAACAGCATATTCTGATTTCTTAGATTGGAGTAAGGTCTAGAAATCTGATAAAGAGGCTAGATTTTAGCTCAGTATTTAGATTTCTCAGTGCGTGTAAACTCTTACTCTGATTTCGTTCTTTTGGATTTCTCAGTCTGCGCATGTGTGAAATAGACTGCGGTCCTGGAAATAAGCAAAAAGCATTGCCGCGAGACGGCAGCAAAACACTTTTGGAAAAGACGCTGAAACCAACAACATGCTTGATGAAATTAAGGATTTAAATATTATGCATGTTCATAGTTTCAGGTAAAGTGGCGCAATGTTTAAAAAAAAAAAAACGCGGCATGAACTTTGAGTTTTACATTATGTTTGTGTCACATCTTCTGTGAGTTAATTGGTGGATTGTAAGCAGAAATACAATTCTTGCCTGACTCATGTAGACCTGGAGTTTCCCCATTATCTGATTACTCAAGTGCATGCAAACGCGTTGATCGGATTATTGACAAAATCTGATTTTCTGCAGTTATTGGATTATTAAGTGCATGTAAACACATACAATGTCTGGGGACAACTATGAGCATTTTTAGGCTAAATGTGTATGGGAATGTAGACTTGTTAGTGTGGGAACGAATTGAGAGAGAAATTTTAAAACCATCTAATGACATGTGAAGGCTGAACTCAAAGTAGGGAGCAACGGTGTGTTGATCAACATTGTCTGAGAGACAACAAGCCTATTGTTAGCCCATGAAAGTTATCAGAGCTGAAAACACTACAATTAAGCATGTTAGGTGTGTGTTGCATGTGCAGACAACACATTACATATGGTAAAAATAAACATTACCATGTGGAAGGGAAAAACATTAAGTAAGCCAGTTAAGTTGGTGTAATCTAGGACCATAAGTTAAACAGGTTGTCCACAGACATGTATTTTTATTATGACTAGGCTTCAAACTGATCTACTCTGTACTGCAGCCTCAACTACACTCTGGAATTTGGTGCATTTATAGTTTTTGGTCCTATTTCTGTAATCCAGAAACCAACACTGACAACCAGTACATGCATGAAAGACAAGCAAGAGATACATATACACAGTTTCTCCGAGAAGTCCATTTCAGTGAGCTCGTGAAAAGCAGACACTCGGGACTGTCCTCAAGGCCGGAGGCTTTCTGAGGATGGTCAACCCGGAATATTCTGCGTTCTGGTTCCTTTAGCATGGTTCCATGACCACCAGGCATCTACCCGGTGGGGAAGCATAGGAGCTAAGGAGGAAAAGGGGTAGGAGGAAGGGGGGAAGATGGGTGTTCCTCCTCTTCTTTGGTGGGTAGGGTGAAAAGCGGGATGGACGAGTGAGGGAGAGAAGAGGAGTGAATGAGTGAGGGAAGGAGGAGGGATGGTGCCTGTCCTATGCAGACGAGTGCCTGTGTGTCTGTCTGTCCTCTCACACTGTCGATATCAATTTGCCCTCCGAACTGTGGAACAAAGAGAGGGAGAGGCTGCCAGGTTGGGTTCAGACACACAAACACAACAAAGCAGAATGAGCACAAGCAGCTCAATGAATGACACAGTGCTAGGGCTAAAGCTAACACCGCCAGGATTAAGTGGTAAATATAATTACAGGGCTAGGTACACTAACAATGCTAATGCTGCAGGCAGTGAATGAAAGCAGGTAGCCGCCATTTAGCACTACATTTACATTTGCATAATGCTAATTGGTGGCTATGGCTTTTAGGTATTTGCATTTTCATTTGAAAGATTCTTTCAATGGACTGTTTCAATGGCAATTTATATTACTGACATTTGATCCTGTTTTGCAGTGCAGCTTTTTACATTTATGCAGAGATTTAAATCCTAGAAACAATAAAATGCAGTGTGCTAGTTGATCATTTGTGTATTCAGCACTGCATTATACAGTCATATGCAAAAGTTTGGGATCCCCTGGCCAAATTTGTGATGTTTTATTGAGTTTCTGAGTTTTCTATTTTCTATAGAGAACACATTCCTGCATATTTTAATGCATTAATGTTTATAGTACTCTAAAGTTTGGCAAAAAATGTCTTATTTAAGTGTGTTCTCTGTAGAGCATGTGTTATTTTCACTTAGAAAACCGACAAAACACAATGACCTGGGGTGTTCAAACTTTTGCATCTAAATGTATATGACTGTATGATAATTGTTTACTCATATTAATACTGTACAGTATTAAGACAAATCAATTCAAATGAATCCACATGAATCAGTCCAAATGAATCCAAATAATCAATATAAATGAATTTAAATGAATCAGTCCAAATAAATCAGCACAAATGAATCAGTCCAAAAGAATTAGTTCAAATGAATCCAAATGAATCAATCTAAATTAATTCATATTATACAAAGAACTTTTATAGCTCATTGGGATACCTGGCAGGGAGTGAGAGGTTACAGTTGTTTTAGACTATTTTCCTGGCTTTTGCTTAATTCCTATCTCTCTACAGAACTCAAGAGCAACTGAAGTGTAAACTAAAAGGTACTTAAAGACTAATTTACAAATACACAGATGGAATAAGCAAAAGCAAGAGTCAAAAACAAACACAAAATGGAATGGGGACTTAAAACAAATGGTAAATCGACAAAATATATAATCCATTACACTTCTGTAATTTGGTATGTTGCCACAAAGATCAAGGAATTTCACCCCATAGATGAAGATATTTCTGAATGATAGTTTGGTACAGCCAATGCCTTTGATCATGGGCTTTTCTTTTGGTTTGATTTCCAAAAGATAATCTCTTAATTAAATACAATCTTCTATAAAAGGTGTGTGACACCAGAAATCATCTATGGGAAAGGGAGTGTTTTTGGAAAATCACTGACAATGGCGTATATCTATATCTATAAGCATGTTCAAACCCATTTAAACAATAGGAGGATTTCCCTCCATCTGTTCTAATGGGTTTGGGTGCACTTATTGGTCACCCGCCCACCTTATCACGTTTTAGGCAAGAGATCCGCAACCTTCTATTACGGACGACTGGTCGAGCTGCAGGTCAAGCAAAGAGAACCTTTCGCTTGCCACATTCACAGTGGTTTGGGGTAGCTTATGTAACATTTCAGTTTGATAAAACAAATAATAAAATAATAATTAAAAAAAAAAAAGAAAACAGAAAAGACTTCAACAAAATATAAACCTTTCCCTGTGCTATGCCAGACTTTTTTCTCACAAACAGTAAAATCCTATGAACTTTATGTATGACATCTAAAATTCTTACCTTGTTTGGAAGCGGGCCTCGTAGTCCTCGAGCCCTTGCTGTAGGAACAGAAAAAGAGCATGTGAGTAATCTGCTTATTGTCCCTCCTTTACAGTCCACTCAGGGTACGCCTCAAATGCTTGAGCTACTGCTATGAAACTACATAATATGAAATTTAACCCTTAGGAATCACAATTAGGACCAGCAATAACAACAGCATGGTGTAATTTAATGAATTGTTTCTCATATTGTTCATTGAAACAAGAAAAACCTGTTGATACAGAAAGTATCACTTTACACTTCATCACCTTAACACTTTAATTGGAACCTGTTACTTGACACTGACATAACCATGCACTAAACATGTGTTGTACTGTCATGAGTTTTCATAATAGATCATGTCTACTAATATAATAGCATTAGCTTTCATATTTCCATTACCAGTAACTGTCATGACAGATCTAATAATATTTGATGTCATGACGGTTAACTAGAGTAAGAATTGTGAAAATTAGCCTCCAACTTAAACTGATCACATACAGCAAACATTTTGACATCTGTTATGACAATTTCTAGTAATGGTTACATGACACGGTTATTTTACTGAACAAAATCTGTCATGACAGCATATGACATGTTTATAGCACAGTTATATCAATGTTGCATAATCATTGCATGGTTATGTCGAGTAAAGCATTGTCAAGTAGCATCGCAAAACGAAAGTAACTTCTAAGGGTTAAAATAAATAGTAGTTCAGTGAAATACAGTGTAAAAAAAACTCCAAACTCCGATAATTAACATTAACAGTAAAAGTATGTTTTCTTAGTGATGGTACAAATCTGTAAAATTTCAATAATTTAATTGATTAGAAATGTTGCCTTTTACAATAATTCAACAGTTTCACTAGTTCTTAAGTGACCCTTATTAGTCTCCAAACGGGGAAATTTCACCACCTCATTTTGACTCATCCGTGTAGTGAAACACCACATATACACTAGTGAATGCACACACACAACAGGGCAGTGAGCACACTTGCCCAGAGCGGTGGGCAGCCCTATCTATGGCACCCGGGGAGCAGTTGCGGGGTTCGGTGCCTTGCTCAAGGGCACTTCAGTCACATACTGTCGGCTCAGGGTATCGAACCGGCGACCTTCCGGTCACAAGGCTGATCCCCAACCTCCAGTTCATGACTGCCCCCTAACAAGTTATTATGACATACAGTGTTTTACCATAATAATGCCAGTAACAACCGTTAAAATAAATGCAAATGTCTGTGAAATAAATATGATTATTTGTTTTTATGAATGTGCATTATATTTCTGTAAATAAAAATACAGTGCATGTGTGGTTTATTTAAACGCATCTTTTTTACAGTACTTTGACACTGAAAATACTTTTCTGCAATGATAATCCAACAAACAGGATAGAAAAATGAATTCAATTTGATGCACTGCTGCAAAGACCAGGAAATTATTAATTCCACTTTTATGGGTGAATAAAGACCTTGAATAACAGTGCCTTGGAACACTGCCTTATGGAGAAAGTTCTTCTAATCTTGTTCCTGGCATCCCACAGCGCTAAACAGTTTCAGCTATTTCCCAGCCCACCTGATCCAGCTCGTGAAGGGCTAATAATCAGTTAATGAGCTGGATCAGATGCTGTGAGTCACCAGGAGCAGGATTAAGAAACACTAATATATGAAGTTAAAGTGCATGAGGCTCTAGATTGCCAGCAGGTGGCAGGAGCGCTATGCGAGCAGGGCTGAGCTCTGTGCACTGCGGTACCTGTGCCTCTGCTCCACATAAAGAGAGAGGGAGGTCATTGAGTACACTCTGTACAGCGAGCGGGCTGACAGTGTAGAGGAAGGGGACTGGCTGAGTGTCATTTAAACACCACTCCTCTATCCATTTAAGATGAACAGAATATACACTAAAGGCAAATGAAAGCGTGGGGGTGCCGGGGGGGTAGATGTTATATAACACACCCGCTGCTTTTGATGAAGAGTCGTTGGTGCACACGCACACATACACACTCTTAGGAGAATACATCTGGATTCTCTTAATCATTGATGTACCTCTTTCTTGTCTGCATTAGTAGTAAATGTGTATCCGAATGGCTTCTTAAAGGGGTGCATTCTGCTGTGCAGGACTCTGGCTATATAAAACCTATTGAAAATGTATTATAATATCTTCTGTTTCTATATAATATAACGACATCATATATTCTATTTTCACAGGGGTGAGTGTGGTCCGTGTCAGCTCAGTCCAGCCTATTTGTCATGCACGTTTGCTTAGGGTAATGTTCCGAAACGTCCTCTATGCTGTCAGCTGAGGTGCACTCTGTTCTGATGGAGCTGGTCACCGCTGAGCTGTTGAGCATGCAGCAGTACAGCAGCTGTATCTCACTAAATCCTGTAGGCAATACATGTATGTGTTTGTTTTCATACATTACAAGGACAAATACCCTGACTTTGCAGAAAAACTGGGGAAAAACCTACTATATCATTGTTCATTGTATCTTACGCCTTTTTCGAGGGGAACTGGATCTTTCCACTTTGCTATTGTTAGCATGCTGAAGGTGGCATTCTATGTAATCTTCCAAATGACTAATTTTGCTGGTATCAGTGCTGTGTTTTGCATGTAAATGACACCTTAGACTCAATGTACTTTGGTGATAAACAAATTCACTGCATTACAGTAGCTGGAGACAACTGCCATCAACAGAACTTGCCAAATAAAGGCTGTATTTGAATAAGAGGCCGCAGTCACAGAGCTGCACAAGCAACTGGGTTCCAGGGTGGAATCAAGGATGTTTAAAGGGTCAAACTAGGAAAAAGCATTAACAGTGTTAAAAAAAAAATAGTAATGTTATTAATTTAAGGTGTTAACTTTGAAAACAGCATACCTGATTTAACTTAATGAAGCACTGATTGAGCCAACTTAGGTATTTGGACTTTTTTAATGCCTTTAATGCAATTTTGACCTTTCAAACCGTCCATAGTTTCACAAGTCTGAAGTTAGGTTCTAATTCGCCAGCATCTTTTTTCGAATTTCTTACTGCTGCTCTTACTGCTCCTTAAGGTGGAACAGCAAAATTGAACAAGAAGCCAATTTCAGCCTCATCATAGCTGCTCCTGTATGTGTGTGTGAACGTGTGCATGCTGCATGTGTGTGTGTACCTGTGAAAATCCTGGCACTGCCACACTGTATGGTCTCTGTCTGCTCAGTGAGGCGGTCTGTGCCATTAGCCGAGAGGAGGAGCCATAATCAGCAGACGGAATAGTGACCGGTTCTCTCTCCAGAAGATTCCCTGTGCTGCTGCTTCTGCCATGCTGCAAACTACACACACACACACACACAGAGCCATTATGACACACAGCTGTGCATTAAGAGCACACAGTAAACCCCCCCTGTCATTTGCATCAACTTTTCTAAGTAATGAACTCACGCAGAGTTAAAAGCCCTTCAGCAAAGATCTGTGCGATACAATTTAACTTTATAGCTTTATAATTTGTTCAGTGCAATGGAATTTATAGTGCTCCTGCTAAGGACAATTGCTTTGTACATCTGCTGTATGGGCGGTAAAACAAGACATAGTGTCGATGAGGAGTCAGGACTGAACTCATAAAGTGGTACACATTAGACTCATTAGGTCTTACCTGACATGCAATCTGCTAGTGTCTGTTTCAGGGATCACTCTGGTGTAAGAGAAGGGGAACCATCCTCGCCTGCCGCACATACACACCAAACACAGTCTGAGTGAGCAACATATACTTTCTCTTTCTTTGCAAAAACTGATTTACTGTAAAAACTGTATTATTTTCATTTTTCCCCCATTGAATACTTTATTTATAGTATAGAACCCCAGTTGCAAGAACAACTGAAAGTCTTAAAGTAAACCAGAAATTACAATTGACCTTTTTTATCTTGTTCATGTCCTTGGTCAATCAACCATGATGTATCATACACTGTTAGAAATAAAGGTTCTGTGCAGGTACATTTTTTGTTTATCAAGGTATAAACAATGTAAATGTTCCCCCAAAGGTACAACAGTGGCTTTAAGGGCTGATTGTGTATCTGAATAAGTCTTTCCAGGTGAAAAGTACACATTTGTATCTTTTCATAACCTAACATTTTAAAATAGAACAATAAAATAAAAAGCCTGGAGACGAGACGGGGTGTGTGGAGTCAATACAACTTAGAAAATATAATTTCAGTGGATTATGGTACAGTTATGTTCCCTGACTAAAGGTACTGAGATGTACCCTTGAGGGAACCACCCCAGTGACAGTTTCATCCCTTTTTTTCTGAGAGTGTATCATTTAAAAGCAAAATTCTTGTTTTCCTTTATAACCAATAATATCATGTTTCACCAGACCTCTGCTTATGGTTGGTGTTTTGTCTTTTAACCTGCCCAAGAACCGCTGACTTTGTCAAGACCATTTAACTGTCACGCAATATGAACAATTGTGACGTGACATGTAAGGGCAGGTGTCGAGATCTTCTCTGGCAAGCCTCAATACGGGGCTACACCCAAAAATAACTATGTGCAGCATATTGGTGTGCATCTGCAAAACATATGAGCTTAACATGCCTAAAAACTACTAAAGGTTCAAAGAAGACTGAAAGAAATTTGTTCTGATGTGAACTTCACACATCTAATGACTATATTGCTCTGAAAGGCTCAGCAGGAAGAGCATCTAAATGCACTGAAGCTATGAAGCTAATGCAGTAATAGAAGCTTATATCTCACCAATAAGCAAAAAAATAAGAACCACTTTGTCATTTGACTAGGGGTACCCAAGCTTTTGTATATGACATATATAACAATATATCATAGAGTCAGAAATCATGTAAGCAAGTCTATTTAGGATTGCTACTTAATGTTATTTGAGGCAAATGTGTTGTAATTTAAGCATACAGTTTGCACCATGTTAATTGGTGAAGAATGAGCTTCCATTACTTGTTAGCTGCATTAGCCTTGTGGCTGCTTGACTACAGTTGGGGTAAAGGGGAACATTCTGTAAATTAGATTTTTACTAAATTATGCTTTTAATTAAGATTTAATTCTGAGATACTTCACTCACATCCTGTTCTTCTCGTTCTCTCCATAGTGCCAGCCGTCCCGTGCCTCGGGCACCAGCAGTGTGATGATGTCCCCCTCAGTGAAGCTGAGCAGGGTGTTGTTATCTCCAGCCGCGTGTGAGAAGATGGCCTGGACACGGGTCCGCCCGTTCCTCTCCAGTCCCGCTGCCATTGAGCTCGACCTGGGCAGTGTCTGGGTCTCTGCTGAGAGGCCAAAGGGTTGGAGGTCAGATAACAGTCAGCTGCATGACTGTGCAAAAGCAAGTATGTTATTTCTGATGATACTGCAAAGCCTGAGTGGATATCAATGACCACATCACTGATCAAAAAACAGATAAAGTCAAAAGTCATGATAAAGTGAATGTCACTGAACCAATCTGACATGTCTTTAGCCTTAAAAGAGGCCTTATATGCCTCCTTTTCTGCTTTAATCATGTACATTTTTCGTTTCGTTTGCTTAAACCACCCTAAACATCCTTCAGACTCTAGCTTTGTCCTTCACCCATTTTCCTGGCTTTTTAAAGCCTGTCCCTTCTATTCCCTCTAGTTCTGGCCTGTTTTCATTAAACGTGTTTGCACTCTTATTGTCTGGGTGCAGGAGAAACAGTCGCTGCCTTATGAAGGAGAGAAGAGAAAGAGAAATAAAGAGAGAAGCTGGACATGCTGTAGTCAGAGCTATTGGCTTTTTATCTGGATGCACCGTCTGTCCTCAAATAACACATTTACCTTAACATGAATGTTCAAATAAACTGCTGATGTGAAGGTGAATCATCAATCAGGTTAACATTTTGCCAAATGTATTTAAATGATACACTCATCCTAAATGTTTCTTCGCTTAGAGGCACGGTTGAGGAAACAAAAAACTTTAATTAGTAAATAACCTTTACATGATGTGAAGGTCCTTAAATATCTCGTTTACAATGCCTGATTTTCATTTATTAGAAGGCTCTTTAGGGAAGGGCTTCTCAATCAAAATGTGGACTGAACCGCAGTTCACAACAGCTTTAATGGAGCTGCAGGAGGGGGCGCTCAGGTGGGTGAGTGATTGCGTGACACACGTGCTTAGTCTATGTTTTGCTGTTTTCAAGAAATGGTTTGTCTCCAAATGGAGGAATTCGCAAATTGCCCATTGATAATTGACTCATTGACTAGCTCTGCATACAACGCACAATGGATTTGGCGCATTGGCACCCCAGTGGCGATGAATCTGCAATTTATGTAGCCATTATCATACTTTTTATCTAGGTATTGTGTTTGTTCTTGTTTTATACAGGTTATTCTGAGTTTGCAGAGTTTTACTCTGCATTGTGGTACATTTCCAGAACCAGGACTGGGCGCATCTGTTCTATGGCATCACTCCAAAGAACCCTTTTGGACCCTTCATTTTCAAAAATGTACTGTTCTGCCTGTAACAAGGATCTTAATTTGCCCCCCAAAAAACAGAATGTTGAATGTCATTAAATGTATGTCAGTTCCAGTGGGCTGGAGGGATTGGCTGCATACTTACCCAGAGTGCTCTTGCTCTTAATGGGTGCAACTTTGCGGACAGGCAGAGTGTTGGAGTAGATGTCGCTGCCGTGGCGGTGAACCTGTGGCGAGACAGTTTTGGCCTGTGCAGCTTTGCTCTCCATCCAGTGCTGATAGTCCTCCACTCCATGAATCCCAGCTGTGCCGTTCACTATAGGACCGCTCTCTGCTCCCATCATCCTCTGGGGGAAGACCCAGCAAAAAATTGCAGAATCATCATGGTGGCCTCTTTTAGCATCACTATTTATAAGTTCATGAGCGTTCGAGTTTGGCTCTGCTGACATCAACACCTCAACAAAATCTAATCTTTAAAGGATTCAAACTAATTACTTTTTTTTTTAATAAACCAGTCTGATGTAGTATATAAACATTAAGTTTCAAAATGCACCATTCACAAACCAGTTCATACAGTTCACATATCACTACTGTCAGAACAAAAGACTGTATCTCCATTTTTGCCGTTTTTCAGTTTTAACATAATTTGAAAGTGCCTGTTGCCTTTTACATTGTGTGTAAATTACATGATGAATGGACCAAAAGAAACAGCCCAAAATGGAAAAAGGTCTGGTTCCATTGACTTACATTAAAAGTCAATTATATAAAGTGTTTTCCTTCTCCTGTAAGGTTATTATTTTGGACATAAAAATAATAACCTTACAGGATAGCGATATAGATACTAAGCTGCTTTGAATTGTATCTGTGATGTTCAATATAAAAACACATTTATCCACCTATTCAGCCTACAACTGATTAGCTCCACCCATTCAGGTTGTAAGGAGTGTTTCCACCTGGACTGCTTTTTAAATGAAGCACAATACTGGGCAGCCAACCAGGACAGAGATCATATGCATATATCAGTCAGTACCAAAAGCCTGTTTTTATTTTATAAGGGATAAAGAGAGTTGATAATGACTGTTCTTTGTACATTAAAGTAAAAATAAAAATTAAATTCTAGGATATAAGAAAAACTTTTATCCTTCCATCTAATAAATGCTACATTGTAAGACTGCTTGCGCTCCCCCCTGTAGAATGAAATCCTGTAAAGTCTCCAGTGAAGTTTTATTTACAATACAAAAAAAAAAATCACGTTGGCACTTTAATTAAACTGACTGTCACTCTTCCCACATGGCTCCTGGAGGCATCCTTGCCTCCGGGGATATTGCAACAGCAAGAGAAAAAAAATAAATAAAAAAAAACAAGCTAAAGGATGACAGGATGCGAACGGCTAGACGTGTTCTATAATTCTCTTCACAGCAACGAGGTAATTATCATGCGATAATTCATGAACTGATATGAATACCAGAAGAGAGAGATGCCCTTCTATCCCAGCTCTTTTGCTTAGGCCTGCAGTTGTGCAACACTTTCTCAACTCATCAGACACCTTATGCAGAACTTAATTAGCCTTCATGTTTGGTAGCTATGCCAGATTTAACCCAGTCATTTGAAAACACTGAAGTAATTAACGTGGACAACCTTTTTCCAAAAGAACACATTTCTGGTCAGGACATGGATAAGTCAACTCAACCCACTTCCTTCACTTACCTGCTGGCTGCCCATGAGAGCAGCCAGTTCAGGGGGCACTGATAGGGGTTTGGCTCCAGGAATAGGCTCCGAGATATGGTGTGGTCCACCAGGCCCACTGCCCATCTGCTGGGTGAGGAGGACTGTCCGGTCAGGGAGCTTGTGGGGGTCAGCACATGCCTGCTGCCATAGTGGAATCTTCTGGGTCAACAGGTCTTTACCCTGAGCACACGAACAAATGCGATGGGCAATAATCAGAGACATGGACAACAACTTCCAGACACCTGAACAATTAAAAAAAAAACATTTTAACAGTGATAGTAACTTACAGGATACATCAGACTACAAGAAAGGTTTTGGTGCAGTTAATTGTACATATTCATAAAAGGACTTAACCCAAGTTAAGACATGTTTGGTATTTTAGGTTTGCTTCTTCAGTTTTTCACTGGAGCTATGAAGCTAGTGTAGCTGATAAGTAATGTAAGGTTAGGACCACCAGTTTGCATCATCTATAAAAATAAGTCACTAATACTTAGCTATGCTAAGTGTATTGAACAGTGTAACCCCTTAAAATCTCAGGTTTATTACATACAAAGGCTCATTATTCAGAAACTACAGGGACATCAATGCAGACTTGTGGATCTATTCTTAGGTTATAGAAGTGTGTAACAAAACTCTGGGCTTTAAAGGGGTTAAAACTTAGTAGTAGCAGCCATTAATCCTTCTGAACCCAACTAGCCATTATTTAACAATTCAGCACAGTTTGAGGAAAATGTATGATGATTTAGTCATGGGGTTTGCCAGGTGCATAAACTGGTGGTCACCATTTTTCATTAGTTGTTTTCTTGTTTGATTACATTTGGGGTAACAGGGGAATTGCGTAAATGTGATTTCTTGGTGAAACATCACTTTAAAAAGGTACTAAACAGATGATTTTTTAGAAAATAGAGGGGACCACTTTACAGACCCTCTATAAAACTTTTATGAATGGTTTAAAATGAGTTTACTAATAGTTATTAAATAGGTCATAATCACATTAAAAATATTAATAGTTATAACGGCAACAGTGACCTGTTATAGCTGATGAATATGAATATGAATGCTCTAAAATCACTTGGAAAGAATCTCTTTATTTTAATTGACATTAAAAGTTAAGACTTTTTTTCTATTGCAAACTTATTATTTTGGAGATAAATATTTTCTTTTGACAGAGTTGATATGTAACCAGCAAGATCTGAATTCTAAAAGTATAGTTGAATGTGGGCTTTTGTCAAGCTACAGGTCACTGTTGCCATTTTTATTTTTGTGTTATAACTTCTTATTAATGACTTGTAAGTTGTTTTGGACCTAATAAATGAACATTAATAAACACATTTTAAACCAAAACTTTTTATAGTGTTATTGTAAAGTGGTACCAAACAGAGCTTTAGTCTGGCAACTTTCTAAGAGTTTAGTCTCAGACACACACACACACACACACAGAGCTCAGTGTAAGTGCACTGAACTCCACACAGACAGATTCTTTGATGGAGGGAGAGTGATAGAGTGATCCCTCTTCACTGCTCTCAGGCTCAAAAGCACTGAGACTTCGCTCTTTACTCTGCCCTCCTAAAGCACTAAGGCATCAATCTAACACACTGTGAGCTGGCTCAGTACTCTTGCTGGCCCTCTGTCTGTCCACACTGGGCCACGCATCGCATCATTACCCCGGCCTTTTCTCAGCCCAGCTGGCCACTGAGGAAACAGCCAGGCGGCTCAGGAACACCTGAAAAGCTGCCCACGCTGCACAAAGCACAGAACGCTTTATTTTTAGGGTTTGTTTATACAGCCAGGACATTTAATTAATGCTGTCTCTGTGCGCATGGACAGGTATAATTTAGCACTGAATCAGTAACGCCTATGTGATCACATGGCTAACACTGCTAACATTTTGGGTACTTCAGTTATGCTACTGTTAAGTCTTTGGAAGTACTGGATAATGCCAGAGTTTATTCATTCTCTGAGTCTAGAACGTCTTCTTTCGCCTCTGCCTATTCCATTCGTATTAATTTATTTATTTATGCCATGAATAGAGCTATAAAGTATATTATACTTAATACAGTTTAGTATTTGTCTACTCTGCATTTAATCACATTTGTTCATTACTGTTGGAAAAGAATAGAAAAAGGGGTGGAAGAAAGGAGGAAAGAAGGAAGGAAGGAAGGAAGAAAGGAGAAAAGAAAGAGAAAAGTAAGGAAGAATGAAGGGGCAAGATCACCAGAAGGAAAAAGAAAGACAGACAACCAGAAAGAAAGGGCAAGAGAGACAGAGAGAGAGAGAGAGAGAGGGATGATGGAAGAAGAAAAGAAGAAGGGAAGGAAGAGGAAGGGAGGAAGGAAGGAAGGAAGGAAGGAAGAGGGGAGAAGCTCACCAGAAGGAGAAATAAAGGCACACAACCAGAAAGAGGAGAAAGATAGCGAGTGACATGGTGGGGGGAGGAGGGATGTGGATGGAAGGAAGAGGGGAGAAGCTCACCGGAAGGAAAAAGAAAGAGAGACAACTAGAGAGAAAGACAAAGGAGAGCAAGAGAGAGAGAGAAAGAGAGAGAGATAGAGAGGATGGAAGGAGGGAGTAGGAAAGGAAAGAAAAGGAAAGGAAAGGAAAAGAAAGAAGAGAAAAGGAGAGAAGTTCGCCGGAAGGAAAAATAAGGGCACAGAACCGGGGGGGGTGTAGAAAGAAGAGGGTAGAGGGTAGAAAGTTCACCAGCAGGAAAAAGAAAAGGAGACAACCAGAAAGAAAGACAAATGAGAGCAAGAGAACGAGAGAGAGATACACTTTGAGTCAGGTTCTGTGGCTCTCCCTGCTGAGGCAATTATCAGTTGGGCAGCTGAACGAGAAGCACCTGCAGAGAGCTGCAGAGAGCTGCATGACCAGCCGGACTGGACCGGCCGTGTGCCTTTAGTGTGAGAACACACACAGAGGAGGTAGAACTATCATGTTCTAACAGAGGGGATATCTGGGCTAGAATGTTAGTACAGAACACTGCAAAAGCGATTGAATGATTTATCTTTCATTAAACTTCTAACATTAAGTTAACAGGACAATAAACAGTGTTTTACATTCTGTTGACTAATTATTTGAAATTCAACAAACTCAAAATTTGAAGGCAACCAGGTTATTCCCATTTTTTAAAGATAAAACACTGATTCATTTTTTTACAGTGCAACCATCTACACCAGAACTCATAACAGTTATGAAATCATTAGCATGCTGAAGACAGATACTGTCCTACATTGCCCATAAAAAGGCTTGGGAGCAGCTCTTACAGTAAATTTAATAAATAAACATATTTTCTTTGTCAGTTCGGCCTCACTTTATTTGGATAGTCCACTATAGTCCCCTATAGATTATCTACAGATGTTCAAATTGTTAACAAACTATCTGTTGAAACTTTGTTCTAAACAGTGGTGAGGTTAAGGTTAGGATTTGGACCAGGGTCATGGATGGGTTTAGGTTTTGGGTTGAGGTTAAGGTTAGGATTAGAGCCAGGTTTAGAGTTAAAGAAAATGATGGTCAATTTAGTAAATATTTAGTTGAATGTAACTTGAAAGAAATTTAAGAAACTACAAAGCATCAAAAGTGGACTATCCATAAAGTGTTACTGTCAGTTCCCATTAGGGACGATGTTTTAGTATAATAAGAATAGAAAGCTGTGGAGATACAGCCGTTTTTCTTTGTAAAACTGAACAACTGACAGAAGCTCTACCTTGGGAATAAAGCCAAAGCCCACACATTTTATCCCGTTGTTGTGATGTCCGCACTCATCAGTAGAGTTTCAATATGTGCTGTCAAATCATTGTTTAAGCAAAACCTACTTGTCATACCAAGAAAGGCACTTTGATGAACACGAAGCCGAGTGTTGAAGCAAAATATACTCAAGTGTTAGCAAATAGCTGTGTTATGTTAATCAAAGCCTTTGCAGACATTGAAAATAATCAGTTGATACGTTATGGAATTTTTTTAAAGAATTGTCACCAAACTTGACTTGCAGTGTAGCTGTAGACAAGTACATATTGGCTAGTGATTGTGTCTGCCAGTGAATTAGCAATGACATTTACTGTACTATAACCAGAAGGTGCACTCCATGCCAGTTGGAAAGGCTTTTTTCTCAGTTTATCTGTATTGTTATTAATTTTGCACACACTTCTCTGTGGTATCTGTGTGCGAGGGCCCTTTTGTGCTGTTCCCATTATCTGCTGGTTTGGCCTTGGTGGTGGTTCAGTGAGTAAGTACCCAGCAGTCTTTGCGTGTTGGCCGTGGGCGAAGGTGTGGGGCTTCAGAGATGACGGTGTCTCCTCAGGCAGATGGTCTGCTCAGCACAATTCACTTTGTTCCTCAGCCTCTCCCTAACTGGAGCACCGCTTCTTTATTATGGGCCGCTTATACAACTGGGCCAATGGTGGGAGCGCATGTGTGCGTGCATGTGTACGTGTGTGAGTGCGTGTGTGACAGAGAGAGAGAAAGGGAGAGGGAGAGGTAGGGAAAGAGTGACCAGGTGGGCGAGCAGGTGAAGAAAGTAGCTTTAACCTACATTTGAGCCAAAACACATTACATTTCCAGTCTCTCCCACTTTCTCTGTTTTCATTTTTTCTCTGTTTCTCTTTCTTCCTTCCTCTCCATCTCAGGGGACAAAGCAATCTTCAGCTCTTGTGCCCCCCCAAAGCCATTATATTCAGTCTCATTTTCTCAGTTGAACATGTTAAATTGCTCTGTGTCTGCAGACCTCACTGTCTCTACAGCATGGTGTTTCCTAGAGAATCTGCCTTCCTACACACCCATGTGTATCATCCCACCACACATACACACACTCACACACACACACACAAACACACATACACTTGTAATTATACAATATCAGGGCATTTATACACGTCCTATATGAATTTTGTGGTATATATGTAAGAATAAGTCCAAATTGTATTATGTAAGATGTCCTAAATGTATTACATATGTTCGTAACTATGTAATAATATGTGCCAAATGTATTTTATACGTAAGTACATATATGTATTAGCAACATGCCCTACATGTATTGTATAAATGTATGTGCCTATGTAATAATAAATAGTCCCATATGTATTACACATGCTGATACTTATATAATAATAGCATGTCTCATACATATTATATTACATGTCAGCATTTATGCCCCATATATATGTAATATAGAACATTTATTAAAACATATAGGTTCTAACATACGTGTTACTTATATGTTAGAACCTATATAATAACAATATATAATGAATGTTCTAAAAGCTTTATATAAATGTACCTTTGTAATAATAAGTTGTAATATATGTGCTAGTAATAATAACATGCCTATACCTATTACATATATTTATGTACCATATGTATTATGTACGTTAGTACCTACGAAATAATATGTCCTATAGCTATTATATATGTTAAATACCTATGTAATAACAGTATGTCCCATCTGTAACATATATTATATAGACTATGTGATAATAACGAATACCATGTCTATTACATCTATGCCCGTTTTAAGAAGTGAACATGCAGGTTTCGTAAAAAATTCCCTGAAAATGTATGAAAACAAACACAGACACACACACACACTCATACACGACGCTCAGTGTCTGGACACAGTGTTCTTGTAGAAGTGGGCCACCCTCTGCCTCAGCCCCCCCTTCCTCTCCTCCTCTCTCTCTCTCTCTCTCTCTCTCTCTCTCTCTCTCTCTCTCTCTCTCTCTCTCTCTCTCTATCTCCTCCCTCTCCTCTCTTCCTCCTCCGTGCGTCTTTCCTCCCACCGCACTATCTGTCAGAGCTGCGGCGTCGTGGCCCACGCACAGCAGAGGAGGGGAAACTCATTCACCCGGACATGACTGGAGTTCCCCCGCACCACCGTGCTCCACTTTACTTTACAGCCTACTGTATTCAACCACTGTCAGTATAATGCAATACTTGTGCTTCACGGCATATTGCATTGACCCATGTCTGCTCATTTGGTTCGCAGGGGAAAAAATCACCAGCCTGGAATTAAATCTCACTCTGAAGGCGTACTGAAGAGCAGAACTGTAAAGCAGCAGCTACGTTTTATTAAACCTTTATTAAATGCTCATTTCATTTCACAGACTGGATAACGCCTCGTCCACATGCTCTAAGATATGCGGAGCGTTCTTAAGCAGACATGTTCGCACGACAGCATAATCAGCAGCAGCCGCTTTATCAGCTGTAATGAGAGGGGATTTTAGGCAGAAACAGCTTATCAGTGGATGTAGCTGTTTTGTTTAATAACTGAATATGTTTGGGTAGTTTATCATAAAGTGACAATGGATTGTAGAACAAAATAAAATTGTACTAATGGTAAAGAGTGGATGTTAAAATCTGGTAATGTGTTTTCAGTGAAGAAACATTTTCACATTATTAGAAACCCCAAACACACTTTTTGGCCAGATTATTAGAAACTCTATGTAGCCCCAGTCACCTAGGTCCACCTTGCTGGTGTACAGTTTGTGAGTGTAGCTCACCTGTTAATACACAATTTGTATTAGCCTTCATCTGGCCCTTCATCAATGGTCAGTTTTTGACCACAGAGCTGATTTTGGCTGAATATTTTTGGGGGGTGGACCACTCACAGCCTAGCAGCACAATGACAATCTTGTCAGTGTCGTCATGGTGCTGAGAATCGTCCACTACCCAAATAATATCTAGTCAACGGTGGCTCTGCGGCCTGAGATTGACCAATGAAGAATGGGCAGCTAACAAATGGTGCATGACAACAGATGGTTGCAGTCTCTGAATGTACACCTAAAAGGCTGGTGGAGTTAATCAAACGGACAGTGAGCAGAAGTAGAAGGTAGATGTTTCTAATAAAGTGGACAGTGAGTGCACTGAAATCTATTTCGAATAGATATTAACCAATGTTAACTCATAAATTACTATAGATATAGATCTCCAAGCAATCTGATAGATGCTGGTTCTGCACCCAAACCCCCTCTCTCTGAGCCATTCAGCATGAGCAGGATGTGATGTAGGTGGGTGCTGGGGGTGGGGCTTTCTCACCTTGGTGTGGTAGGCGCTGCTGCTCTTGGCCACGGCGCACTGTCGGTCCACCAGGAAGCAGTACCTCCTCCTCTCTTCGGACAGGGCATTTTTGTAGCCCTCTGCGATGTGGCTGTCCAGCTCACTCTGCCTGCTGCTGATGGCCTCCACGTACTGAGGGACAGGGAAGGTGGCGTGAGGCGGACTCAAAACAGCCAAGAAGCCCCCTGGTTTCTCTCAGCTATGAGCAAAGGTGGGCAGGCTGAGAGAAACTGCACAGTTTTAACAGCACTGATGCCACCTGGCTGTGCACACAAAACAGCATTCTGAAGGTAAATGGACAATGGACTGCAAAGCTGGTGATGGATGCATTTAGCAGGCTTGACTGGCTGTCTCAGATGACCCAAGAAACTGAGGTTAATTTGCACTCTGTTATGAGCGCTGGACACTACAACCGAAAGGTCAATTGTATGTTGACAAGAAAACGTTCAAGAAGCAAGGCAACAGCATACACTGAATAAGAGCACTTTTCCTGACTCTATATGGAGATAAAGTCACATAGCTTACAAATGTTGCTAAAATTGTCTTTCTCTGACATAGTGCCAAGCTACCTGCCATTCCCATTAGCCTGTATGCCCTCTAACAAGGACACGCACCTCCACAGAACTTGGCATCACACGACCACATCAACAAACACACCTTTACAGATACGCAAGCAAGGCAAGATTCCTACATACAGCACACTGAGTAACTCTTCTGTGCTGTGATTTCTGCCTGCCGAGTGTTAATGAACATAGCTGAGGCGACTGAGGTCAATATCATAACTCTACAGGCTGCAAGGCTGAGTGCCAAGAGGTGGTACGTGCTCAAGTGAAATCAACTGCTGGAGTTTATCGAATACAAATACAACACACATCCAGTATGAGCTGTATATAAAATCTGCCCTTACACATTTTAGCACACAAATACAGTTACATGCAAAGGTTTAGGCACCACTGTTCAAATTGCATTGGTAACACTTTATTTGAAGGGGTCCTTTGTAGATGATTAATAAACTCTTAACAGATTATCAGTAACACATCAACAACATATCTGTGAAGTAGCAGCAGTGAAGCATCTGAATACACTGAAGTAAATATTATGTAAATGTTCTGTTGATACATTACTTACATTAAGTAGATATATTGTTAATATGTTACTTCCATTACGCAAAACCTAACCTTACCCAACCTTACCCAAAACCTAACCCTAACCCTGGCCCTTAATCCTAACCCTAACCTCAACCCCAACTCAAAAACTAATGCTAACCCTCATATGTTTTTGACATGTTACTGAGAGTCCGTTGAGTGTTTGTTTCATCTAAAAAGGACCACTCAAACTTAAGTGTCACCATTACATTTTGTTAACTGAAAATGAGAAAGTAAGTACAAATCCTTTAGAGAACACACTTCTGCACATTTAATGTACAATTAATGCTTATCCGCTGTTAAACTTAGCAAACAAATAGAAATTGTGCACAAAAAAAAAATTGCAGGTTTGTTGCCTGTAGATGATGTTAATCCATTTTTACCTACAAAATCAACAAAACATGCTATCTGACCAGGGCGTTCAGTCTTTTACATATTTAAGCATGGAAATTGAAATACTGCACCATTCCAAAATGTCTCATATGTTCAAAAAACAGTTTATTTATCTAAAACAACACCTAATCAGGAGTGTAATCTTTTGCTTTATCAAACATAGGCACACTGGTCTGGAAGCCAGTGACACCTAGATTGGATCAAGTCATCAAGTCACAGTCATCATAGGTGATAATAAAATTGTAGTGCAATTAAATATCATTTAGTTTTCACTCATAGCTCATTGAAACATGCAGAGATTCTAAACTTTCAAGCAATAAAATATTACTGTCTTGAATCTTTAAAAACACAATGTAATCTAATGTAAATGCAAATCTTTGCATAACTGACCTAATAATAAATGTAATGACATATGTAATTACCAGTGGTTTAGTCAGATATATGGGCATTTTTACCAGGCCGATTAAGTATACTGACTTATAATGCTGAGTTTATTCACATGATGATTCAATTATTCCGATTACTTCCATTTATCACCACCACTGGATACCACCATTCAGGTCTTCCAAGAAAATGCAATCGATCTCAGATATGTGGATATGATTTAGAGTAAAAAAAACAGACTAAAAACTCCTGTCAATGTTACTTCTGACTAAGAAAGAGTAATCTTAACAGAGAATTCATCTCTGTTAAGATTTGCTGATGAATGTCACAGTTATCACACAGTTATCGCATATAAATGTGATTTACAACCAGTCACTGAAGTTTCTGCCTACGTTGCTATGTATATGCTTCCATTACAGTGCTGTAAAGTGGGTTAAATTCAATTTCAGTACACACCACCCATGCAGAAGAGGTCAAAAAATCTCAAATCGCTGACCAACAGAGTCAAAGTGGTGTGAACAAGTATATGAATAATGAGTATAAGCCACTAATCCTATATATGACACTCTTAAAATAAAGTTTCCTAAATAGTTCTTGCCTTGGACATGAAAAACACTCGACTGCTGAAAAATCTTCTCTGGTGGTTATTCACACTCATCTCATTTCCAGAAGTAGTTCTTTAAAGAACCATCCATTGAGTGGCTCTACACGAACTCAAAAGTGGCTTCTATCACTCCATAGAAGCCTTTATTTTTAAGAGTGTAACTGAGACATACTTGACTCAAACAAAGGAAAGTAATAACCCACTCCAGGGTAATTTCAAGGTATACTGAGGAATATTAATGTGGGCCTGCTAGCCATTTGTTTTGTCATTGCATGCAAGAGTTTAGCCAGGCGAAGCCAGACTAGCCAGCCTGACAATCAGACACCTCCAGGGAGCTGTCAATCAAACTCAGTGACTCAAGCACTTATGGGACACTTTAAGCCAGAGAGAGACCAACACACATAAGCTCTCACACTCAACCATTCATGACTCCAGCGGTTCCTCCTCTTCACGCCTACACACAGCAAGTACCTGCGCATTGTTGTGTAACCATACCTTTAGCTCCATTACTGCAGGAAACCCACTCGAGATGAGATCGAGAGGCTAACTAGCACAGAGCAGTGGAAAGTAGAAGAATAGGGAAGCAAAACTAGGACAAGACATCCAAAAATAAAGGAGAAGAGGAGCTGAGGAGGGGAGAGAGGATGGGAAGTGCCATGCTGGCTGTACCTTTCCTCAGCTAATTGATTGAAAGGGGGTTGCTCTGAGCTGTGGTTAAAAATGAGTGCCAGTGTCAGGTTTCTTCCAGGTAGCAGAGCAGGCCTTATAGTAGCTAAAATGATAGCTCTGTGAAAAATGTAATTAACTCAATTTCCCCTTTTCGCAAAAGTAGTCAATCAGCTGAGATATGTTTGGTGTCAGAAGTTGCCTCTTTAGTTTTGTACCAGAGCTACAATGCCAATGCAGGAAAATGGACATGAATATAAGCATAATTCATGCTTTATGTCCATTTTCGTCGATAACAGTGTAGCATACTGTGTTATAAATCACATAAGTAATTCTAAGTAAGAATTTCTCTGTACAGTGTAACCTCCTGTTTCACTGCGCATGTGAAAATAAAACTCTTGAATCCTGAATCTTGAATCTATTTAAGATTACTTAAAGTTACACTATGTATGTTTTGGGGATTTGGAGACCTCACTGGTGGAAATTGTAATTACATGCAACATGTGAGAAAACATTTTGTAATGTCAGTTGTGCTTCGCACCCATTTCCTAAACAGATGAATTTAATGAATACAAGTGTATTGAAAGAGAATTCAAAGGGAAATCAGTCAAAAATTGGTGAAGGATGTGTCTTCTGAGGAAGTACATGAATTAACTTGTGTTGTCATGATATCTTCATCAGTATAATGTTGATTTTACATTTGAGATCTAAACATCAAGCTAGACCCTTTTTTTTGGGCTTGCAACGTTGATGTATAGATGATGTAAAGAATTTAAAGATGTGGGACGGGGTGCAAAAAACTCCCTCCAAATTCGACCCGATGCCTCTCACTTTTAAATAATTATTACAGACTTTACAGGGTGACTTCCAGAAGCACATGGACACCATATTTTAGCATGATTTTTTTTCTCCTGACTCAGTAATGGCACTTTTTTTTAACAAAAAAAAGTATGCATAAGTTTCTATCACTTGTTAGCTACAGTAGTTGTAGCTCCAGCGCAATATTAAAGATGGAAACTTCAGACTCCAGATATGTCTTAGCCTGTCGAATACATTTGGGTACAACTGGGTAAATTAGAGTTGTTTGCCAAAGTATTGCTTGCAGTGAACAGGTCTAATACAGAGAACTTGGTTTGTCCTTGTAGTCACAACAGCTGCTACAACATGCTGCTATTAAAACCAACTGAACTTCTGCACTCAGTTTGAGCAGCCAGCCTCTTCTTTTAGCGGACTTGCTCTGCATTATTGATCTCAAACTAGCTGTAAACATAATTGCAATTCAGTGTGATTAAAGAATTTCTGAACATGCCGATTTGGGTATCCGTTTGGTATCTGTAAGTGCACAGTTAGCAAAAGCTATTTTATTCAGCATGAAAAAGAAGCACGCACCTGAAGTACAGAGCACATCTCACCCTACACCTCTGATCTGGAGACGGGGTCGCAACTCAGAGCTGATAGGCAGTGAACTCGGCGCAAACGAACAGCTGAACCAGGAGCTTTTCTACTCGCCTGCGATCACAGATCCAGAATCAGGTCACTTTTTAAGCTGCTCTTAAAAAGCACTACAGAAAAAGAGTTGAACCTGACCTGCCAGCAGCTAAATTTGTTCTTTTCTCACAGGAGTGCAGATGGACGTCAAAGTGCAAGTAAGGCTAGACCTGCAACTCTGCAAACTCTGCAAAAACAAGCTCTGACCCCAGATTTATAAAACTTCATGTTACAAGTGCTGACAAAGCATCACTGCCATTTACACCTTAATGAACCAAGTTAAACTGGGGTGCCTCTGACAGGCATGATGAATTTGAATCCTGCATATAGCTGCTATTGGATCAAAACCTTGTGTCTCCAAAATGGTAACTTTACAGGAGAAGGAAAAAACCTACTTTACTTTTAATGTAAGTCAATGGAACCAGATGATTTTCCAAGTCATTTTGGGTCTT